AAAAAGAAAAAAAAGAAACATATGCCCAGACAATAGATTATGAACTAGATGGCACCTTTTCAACCTTTTTAGCCAAAGAAACTTAATCAAAACTTTCACTGAAGAGTAAATAAACACAAAAAGTTGAGCTGCTGATTTACAGTGGAGAAGAGGTCTGAGGACAGAGAATGAACAGTCTGCAAACCTGGACTAGGCAATATTATGCCAAGTCAAAAGTGGACAGCTACAAAAGGGACTTGCGTAGGCGGAGATCTGTCACGTGTATTTCCTGGGGACATGTAACACTATACAGCTTCACCAATAAATACTTGAAAAACTTCATTAAATATAGTATTAATCAAATATTCATCTCTCTTGACTAGCAATGCTTCATTGTGACCAATTTAATTTTGGTGGAGAAAATGGAAGAGATTTTAGAGTCAAGAGATTTGAATTGCTGACAAGTACTACCACCTGGAACTCTCCTACATACAGTCCAAACTTCTGAGGGTACTTTTAGAACCAATTAGTATTTGGTATTTTGACCAAACATCATTCATATTAAAGGGTTTTTATTGTGGGTTTGTGACGTATGTCAGTGGGACAGTGTTTGCCTAACATGAACAGGCCCTCGGTTCAATCCTGGCAAAAGGGCTTACTGTAAAATCCAGCTTACAACCAACCAGCACCTTTCTCCCTCAAATGCGAGCAATCCTTCCTACGCTTAAAGACAAATGCAGGGCAAACCCTGACCGTTCCCTTCTCCTACTTTTAAGCAAGATCAGCACCACATGTGACTATCCAGTGAATGTATCTTAACTCAAACACCAGGAATGGGAAGAGCAGGGCCACTGCCTTCTTGATACAAGGCTTTCTCGATCTTGTGTGTCAGTCTGCGTCTATCAGATAAACGCAAACCAATGTGTGTAAGGCTCAGCTTAGTAATGAAATGCAGACGGCAGGCTGTCTGTTCTCCTGTGATCTGGGCACCACTTCAAAGTGATGTGAGTCAATGTAAAGCAGAGGAAGGGAAGTATCCTGGGATCTAATTCGTTACCAAGTCTCTCAGAGGGAAGAACTGTATCTTCTAGGCATGAGATCCTTTTCACAACTAACCTACAATAACCCAAGAAGCAATTACTCCTAAGCTAGCTGTGAACTAATTATTTTGGTTAATAAAGTGTATGCTGTTATCCAGTTAACTACAGCGACAGCTATAGTAATGTTCTAAGAGAAGGGTGACAGGTGACATACACACAGAGAACAGGCCTACCCACTCATTATTCCTCAAAGGGAGAGCACACTGACAGGCCAACGTGAGTATTCTGGCCCACCTGCCTTGAACTGGGAAAGATGTATGATGACCCCGCCTCTCGGGGTTAGGCAGTTTAAAAGCCCCTTCCTTCACTGTCCTCCCTGCAGCAGTGACCCTGCCCATGGCTCCTGGTGTTAAATGTTGTTGGGTTCAATGTCAAGGAGACCTCAGTTTTGGTCCAAGCTCTGCCATTTGCTGACATTTTGAACCTGAGTAGGTTATTTCACTGCTCTAATCTCAGTGGTCTCTTCTGTAAGATGCACACCCAGACTTTCCTATCCCTCTACACCAGCTTACCAGAAATTACCATTATGCAGGCAGCACAGGAAAGGTTACTTACTTCTTTATCTAGTGTCCGAAACATCTGGTTGATCACACTTTCCAGGAAAAAAGTCATGGCCTCCCATTGCACAAAGGAGGGTGAGAAGATGGAGCAGAGGGTTCCCTCACCGGTTCCAGCTTCAGAGGAACAGGCTTTGAAACACACAGCGAACGTTTATCAGCAAGGGTTGGAGAAGATGGAGACAACAGAGCCTCAGAGACCACCCGGGAAACTTGGAGTTGAAGGAAAATATCTAACCTTTTGTAGCTTGGGCAAAATAGACCAAGTGAAGGTGGGCATGGAAGTGTACATCTATAATCCCAGTACTCTGGGAGGCTGAGGCAGGAGGATCGCAAGTCCCAGTCCAACCTGGTCACTTACTGACTTAAGTGAGACCCTGACTCAAAATTTAAAAAATAAATAAAAGGCTAGGGATGTAGACCCTCAATTAAACCCCTAGTACCATAAACAAAACAAGCCTTAGGCAGATTGGCTTGCATTTATCTACTAGACTAAGTATGACACGTTTGAAGGTAGTAAAGGGTCCCTACCCTATTTCTACCTCTAACAAAGAGGTGTCTGAATTCACCTCTGGGAGTCTTGTCTGTTCAGGATATGCATGCATGCATCAAAAATAGTGTCTGGTCAATTACAAGCACTTGATAAAATATTAATTTCTCTCCCACCTTTATAATCCAGCCATGAGAATCTAAATAATTAAGATATGAAATCATAATTGTCCAAGGAAATAATATAAGCTATGAAATGCAGCTTCATATCCAATAGCCTCATAAGAGCTGTAAAGACTGTGTCTATAAAACTGTGTCCTTCTTCAAATTCACAAACAGGACCAAAGCACATCGCTCAAACAGCCAGACACAGACAAAAAAATGTATCCACTGCCTTCTTGCTCCCATGTAGTACTTGTAAGCTGCGTCTTAACACTTAACACAGCATAACTGGGTCTCCTCAAAATTTCAAGTTACCAATGTCAGAGACCTTCAGTGCTGATTGTTAAACCCAACTGCTAAATCTCAGGTCAAGTAATCAGCATGCTTGAAAATGACCACAGTTGCTATGTAGCTTTTCTAAACAGTTACTCTGTTCTGTATACTTACTTCATCCTTTTCTATTTTACTAAGCTTGCCATGGGCAACATGCATTAGCGAGACAAGAGGCAGAAGATACAGAACACAGGTAAGTTAATAGACTGAGCATTTGGGTAGAGGGAGGTTACCCTTATTTGTATAGAGGGGGTTTTCCAAAGGACCTGGGAGGCTGAGCGACATGGAAAGGCCTTGTACTGTTCCTAACAGGAGCTTCAACACGAATTTACTAACAATGGCATGCATGTACTCAGCAGAAAAGTTTCAACACCTAGGTCTAGACATACAACTTGCTTACAAATAGGGGCCCTGAGGTGAAACAATGAAAGTGACAATTGGTTGATCCTGTTAGGAAAGAAAAACGAAAGCAAAGCTGACAGGTTATACCCTGATTTAAACATACTTAAAATGTAGTGTTCTCTGTTTCCTCAGTGTGCGCAAACTGAAATGCCTGCTCCCCAGGATGGAATGGTGCAGTGAGAAGAGCTACTCTGTAACAGTATTAGGATGCTTCTCCAACTCCTGACAAAGGTTTACTTCCCACATACACGTCTGGTACAGTACTGCACTTACAGTTCATAGCTCCAGAATCAACAGGGGTTGAGAGCTGAAACTTCAGCCACTCTCCGGCCATCTGGAAGCTGGTCTTGGGATCCAAACGACACGCCATCCTCATCACCTCTCCTTGCTGGGCGCGGGAGGCTGCACAGGAAGGACACAATGCAGTGACTGAGTATGGTGGGCACTGAGTGGATGTCTGGTCATTTCCCTGCCCCAGGGGAAAGTGACTGGATAAACTGTTCTGCAGACTCCTGCTCTGAATCTAACAGTTGCTCAATACTGCTTTATTGAAATAAAGCCTCCAGAAAATGTTAAAAATAATCTACGGAAGGTGTTTTACCAGCTGGATCCTGTAAGTAGCAAATGAATACTGGCCTCCCATTTCTGTTGGAACTAAAAGGAAACCATGTTGGAAAAAATGTAAAATGGTGCAGCTGTCAGGGAAAACAGTGTGGCAGTTCCTCAAAATATTAAACAAAGAACTGCCATATTACCTAGCAGTTTAACTCCTCATTATATACCTAACAGAAATATAAAAATATGTGCACAAATGGTCACAGGAATAGTATCTGTAACAGCCAAAGAGTGGAAAGAGCTCAAATCTATCAAGTCGTGAAGCGATGAACAAAATGTGGAATCTCTAAACAATAAAGTATTAGGATTAAAAAGAAATGAAGTACTGATTCAAGCTAGAACATGGATGAATTTTAGAAGCATAATGCTAAATGAAAGATGGCGGCCCCAAGAGGCCACACAGTCTATGATTTTATTTATACGAAATGTTCACAACAGGGAAAACACAAAGGCAGAAAATAGATCCGTGGCTGCCCAGGGAGAAATGAAGAGACTGGGGCACGATGTCTAGTGGACACAGAGATTTAGAGGGTGATGAAAGTGCTCCACAATTAATGTGTCATGGTGGTCACACAAGTCTGAAAATCTAAAAACCGCTAGGTTGTATACTATAAATGGGGGAATTATATGGCAAATGAATCTCACCTCAACAAAGAAATTTTGAAAAGGAAAGAAAATCAGGCTATAGGAAACCTGGAACAGTTAGGATATTAGAGTATAATAGGTTTTCTCTTTCTGGGAAGAAACAACCACATAGTAAGATGGAATTTAACCCTAAGTGTCTTAAATATAGGTACTCCCCCTAAACATCAATGTGCAAAGCATGTCTGCAGAGTGGAAATGGAAATTTACTGCGGGGTAACAGCCCCGGCACCCTTCTGCAGGGCTCGAGCAGATATCAGACCTCGAGTGGGCTGCTGTCCAGACCGAGGGCTCCTTAACAGGAACTCAAATGTCACATACCAGCATTCATGTGCACCAAATGCCACTCTGAGAGTGCTGGAGGGCTCCCAGGCCAGTGTCACTTACAGTTGAAGAAAGTGTTGAAGTCCTCATCACTATCAAAATCATATCGGGAATATTCGCAGCTTGGACTGTCTGTCTTAGAAGGAAAACCCATCTGGAAAGAGAACAGCAATCAGGCAGGAGAGAAAATGAGTGCTCAAACTTTGGGGGCTCGGCCAGGGAGATAGCTCAGTGGCACAAGTTCCTGCCTGGCAAGCACAGGTCCCAAGTTTGATTCCCAGTACCAAAAAAGAAAAGAAAATTGCATTTCTTACGCCAGGTGTGGTGGCACACATCTGTAATCCCAGCACTCAGGAGGCTGAGGCAAGAGGATCACTGTGAGTTCAAGACGAGCCTGGGCTACAAAGTGAGCTCAAGGCCAGCCCAAACTGCATAGTGAGACCCTGCCTCAAAAAGACAAAAAAACAAAAACAAAAATACTGTGGGGGCTCAAGCACTTTGATTTATTTAAGAAGAGCTAAGGCTTTACATGAGATAAGTTACAGTAACTACAGTACTATTCTACCCTGGATCCAGTTTGCTCCTGGCTCCAATATTCCTGAGAGCAGTAGAAAAGAGAATACTTTCATTTATTTATTTTTGTCTTTTGAGACAAAAGACAAGGATCCTCCTGCCTCAGCCTCCTGAATGCTGGGATTATAGGTATGCACCACCATGCCCAACAGAGAGCACTTTTAGTTGACACCTTCTCTCAGTCTCTTCAGGGAGAATTAAATCCTGGAATTCATTTGGGATCTATGAGCATGAAGTAATAATCTGGCATTCAATAAGGAAGAAAGAGTTGCGAACTACTTATCTCATTAAATGCTGAATACTTGGAATATGTAGAACTACATATGTTTCATTCAAAAAGTACTGAAAACCATGCCAGTGAATTATTTATTTTTTATTTTCTTTCAAGACGGGGTCTCACTATGTATCCTGGATGGGCCTTGAATGCAAGGAGATCCTCCTGCCTCAGCCTCCCAAGTTGTGTGATTACAGGTGTGCACCACCATTCCAGTTATGCCAGAGAACTAGAACATAGTATGTGCATGTGCTAGGTGAATTCCTTGAGTAACAAGGGGATACTTGAGTGGCTCTCACTCTCATGATTTACAAAGATATAAAGAATCTGTCAACTGCAAGAGCTTTTATTTAGCAGACTGCAAAGAATTCAGTCTTTGACTTTACTCAGTCCCTGCTCATTTGCCTTGCTGACACAGACTTGACCTTTAGAAACAACACCTAGATGTTACCTCCTCCTAGGCCAGTGGCGGCAAACCTTTTAGAGCTTTCAAAGATGCAAACAGCCTACTGTGGCATGTATGCCACAGGTTCACCACCACTGTCCTAGGCACTTCCTGATCCTGCACTCCTCTGTGCCTCCAAAGCACTGTGCTTCTAACTCCTGAACAGCATTTACATCACACTGTACGGCAATGCTCTCGCCTTAGCTCCTAGCCTGATACTGATATTTGATACTCAAGTGCCCTACAACATGGAAAAGCAGTTAGAATAACCAGTATGGATCACGCTCGTCCTGCAGAACAAGAGAATATGCCCAAGTAAGGGATCTTAGGGACCAAAAAGGGCCATCACTGATGCTCCTCAAAGCCCTCTGTGTGCATTCACCCCTACTCTGAGCGCTGAAGCTCCTGCTGTACCTTGACCAAGTTGGTCATAGAAGCACGAAGGTATTTCGGGAGGATTGCTAACAGCACAGGATCCCGAGACAGGACTTCATGTCTGAAGAGGGCGCCCCAAGTCATCTGAGTTGAAGAACGCAGAAACTAAACCGAGAAACAAGCAAAAATCTCAGTTTAATTTGAATTGTACTTAACCAGATAATCACTAAGCCTAGGAGTTATCTATCAACGACATCTCCACGACACTTGAAAGCTGCCTCTACCGCAGTGTGCAGTAATGACTGTGCACATTTCACAAGTGCGCGTTCCTGGACAGGCTGAGAGTCAGCTGTGGTTGCTGGAGTGTGTGGCCTGAACTCTACCACTTTCTCTTCTCAGTCATAGAGAGTACTGAAATCTTGGGGTGATAAAATAAAAATCTTGAATTGGGTGAAACTAGTATTATAAAAACACAATCAAACTTTAATGTTTAAAATCTCTTCCTGCCAAAATAAACACATGAAACTGAAAAAAAAAAAAAACAAAAAACAAATCTCTTTAGTACCAAATCCTGTGACACCTCTGACATCCCTGGAACATCCATGGGGCTTAATGGGTGTTGGGGAGGGGTGCTGAGCTGACAGCATAATGCCTGGCTCTGGAAGAGGATTCAATACTCCTCTTACTGAAATGTCTCCTACAGCCATGGGCTTGGGCCCAGAGAGTCACCCTATACACAGGTGGTACTGGTATGTCACAGCACACCACTGGATTGTGGTTTACCTGACTGAAAAATTTAGATGTTATCAGCATAAGGTTTACCTGACTTGGGTGGGTTGTGAAAGCAAGAAAAGATTCCAGGTATTTTCCAAAATTCCCTGGTGTTTGTACGTCAGAGTCTCCACCCTGCTGCGGAAAAAAGAACCCAGGTTAATCACAAAGATTGGGAGGGGAATAGGGGAGAACAGTAGCAGAGGAGCAATAAACACAAAATTTAAACCATCACAAAAGTCACAGGTTAGGGGTATGGCTCAGTGACAGAGTGCTTGCAATCATGCAGTGAGGCTCTGGGTTTGATCCCCAGCACCACAAAAAAGGTTTGTTTTGAAAGGATTTTATATTTTCTTTTGGCTAAAGAAAGGCAACATTTCAAGGGTTAAAAAATAAGCAAGCTAGCCAGGTATGGTGGTGCACACCTGTAATCCCAGCACTTGGGGAGGCTGAACCAGGAGAACTGCCTCAAGTTTGACTGGGCTCCACAGTGAGTTGAAGAATAGTCTACTACATTTTTGTGAGACCCTGTCTCACACACACACACACACACACACACACACAAGCTAGCCAGGTGTGGTGGCACATGTCTATAATGTAATCCCAGTACCTCAGCACTCTGGGAGAGTGAAAAAAGAGGATCACAAATCTGAGCCCAGCCTGGGCAACATAGTGAGACCTTATCTCAAAATACAAAAAGTAAAAAGGGCTCAGGATGTGAGTCCGGAGGTTGATCTGCAGTACAGCAAAACAAACACAAACCAAAACCTAAAAACTACTCCCATCCCTGGTCTCCCATGAAACTGGTGTCCTGGGGACCACTGTTCTGAATGTTCCCCCACACAGCCCTCACTTACCAGCAGCGCACACAGCTGGCTGCCCAGTGCACACAGCACCTGGCAGAGTCTCTTGAGGAAGACGTAGTGCTTCTCCACCAAGCCGCCGCCATCGGCTGTCCTGTGAGAGAACAGGGGGACAGGCTGCACACCAAAGGCACATGGGGCTCCGACGATAGGAAGCTACAGTCTGTGCTTCACCAGTCCTGTCTCAGTGATCAGCAAAGTTAAAGACAAACGACAAAACCCTAACACCACAAGACTGATGCAAAGTAAGGTCCAGGGTGAACTCCTCCCTCACTAGCACCTAGATAGTGCTCGGTATTCTGAGACGGTAACATAGTTCTGAGCAGGACCACATAAAACAACACAGGAGCTGCACAAAAAGACATGGGTTGATGGCCCAGGGAGGACTGGGATAGAGCCCTGGAGAGGAGGCATCAATTCCTTACATCACTTATAAAATAAAAAAGATTAAGATAACAACCTGACTTTGTGTCTTACTTGTCCAAATCATTTAGTTTGGATCTACTGGCCAGTAGAATCCAAAAACCTGTTAAATAAATAAAACTAACTGATTTGATGGCATTACCTGGGCTGAAATGATACTGGACTATTCACACTAACCATAATGCACAGCTACTTGTGTAAACAGCAGTCACACCACTAACCCTGTAGGCAGCATAGGGAGTGGAGAAAGGACAGCCTCAGTTACCATGCCAGGCCCTGGGGAGGCTGAAGGTAGGGCGGTGTTATATAACCATGGGTGCAGGACAGATACCCACAGCAGCAGAGATGCCATATCTTTGTGTGTGTCAGTCTGCATGACTAAAAAATGAACCCTAGAAGCAGTAACTACAGTGACTACCCCAAAGATAGGACATTCATTCAATCAACATGATCCCTTCCATACAGAAGTGCTGTCTCCCCAAGAAAGAAAGCCGTGATAAAGAAATGCCGTATCAGAGTGAATAGTAACAGATTTTAAATACTTCATGTGTTGCACACCATTTCCTGTGTCCCTAGGACAGACAATAAGATGATCAAAAAGTGGGTGTTACAAAAGCTTCAATTATTTGCAATACACAGTGCCCTCTGAAACTGGTAAGAAACACGTATCAGGCCAGGTGTGGTGGTACCTGCCCGCAATTCCAGCACCTAGGAGGCTGAAGCAGGAGATCACTGGGAGTTTGACGCCAGCCTGGGCTACAAAGTGCGTTCAAGGCCAGCCTGAACTGCATAGTGAAACCCTGTCTAAAAAAAGAAAAAAAAAGAAAAGGAAAGAAAATAGAAGAAAAAAAGAAACACCTATCAAACCTGTCAAGAAAGATTTCACTATTTTCCAGAGAAACTGAAAGAAAATAGAAGCCGTTCTGCGTTTTATGCATACATCTCTGTTGGTTCCTGCTGCCTGGGAGCCTTAGCTTGCTGGGCAGTGCCTACCGGGGCGGAGGGTGGGAGGGAAGAGCACCTGGAGCTCTGCCCAGCTGATCTAAGCACTCTAAGACCTCGCTGCCAGGGGTCCCCAGAGACCCAGGGATCACTCAAAGCACAGAATTAAGCTCTCTGTGGCGGGGGTAGGGTGTGAAAGTGAGTGGGTTTTAATTGATCGTTATAGCTCATTTCCAAAAAAGCTGACCAGTCCTTTGAAGAACATCTTATTTTCTTACACAAAAACACGTTGGTTGACTGCTGACACTTACATGGGAACTTAAGACATATCCATATGAGATATAAAAATGATGAAGAGGTGAGAAAATACACTGTGGAGCTGGGGTGTAGCTCGGTAGTGGACAGTACATTTAGCATGCAGGAGGCCCTGGGTTCAATTCCCAGCATGCACACACATGCTGAAAATCACATTTTTGGGGCTTACCCACAACATACTGAAAAGTTAAGATACTCACTGGGCAGCAGAGAGTATATAATGCATGGCAACATCTCCAAATAAAACCATCAAGGGCTTCCGGTCTTCCAGCTTGCCCTAGACCCAATTGTAGGAAAACACAGTCATATATACTGTATTACTAAAAACTTTGAGTTACTGGTGTCCTCTATACCGATATACTCAAATGTACTTATTTTTTCCACCCTTCCCCCAATAGTTTATGAACAGTAGAAAAAAAGACAATTCTTTAAACCAAATCTGGGTAAGACTTATATTTTAAAGTGTGCTGTACAAGAACATCAGTACAACAGCAAATGATATCCCACAGATAATACTTCTATGGAGAAGAGTCAGAGGCCTGTTAGCCAAGACAAACATAAAGCCAGTGCACCCACCATATGAGATTCTCTGATGTAACAGTGAGCTTTAAATATTAACATTACTTTTATTTCAGTGAAATGCCAAGAATCATGGCTGTTTCAACCACCAAGCAGCCTGATAAATCTCTGTACGTTCTGCCAATAGATACTGCAGTGAAGAACTAGCGGAGCCAGGAAGTTGGCCTCAAGGAATAAAATTCCAAACCTCTAATGTCTTTCTGCCACAATAAGCGATCGGACATATACACTCCCTAACTCAGACACTTAAGAGTGGAAGTCAGTGTAAGTGCAACTTACCTTTCTACTGACAGCAATGAGAAGACACTCGGCTGCTCCCAACTGCAGCTCCTGCTCGTTCAGAAGCAGGCACAGCATCTCTAGCAGCTTGCAGTTCTCAGCTGTGATGTGACTCATGGACACCCAGTCAATGTAGCCAGCAAGCGTGTTCAGTGCCGCGACTCCAACCCGACAGCTGGCCTGAGCCTGTGCCAAATCACCCACAAACATGAAGTCCTAACACCTAAGGACGCTGTGGGTATACCTGAATTATATTTTCTAATTCTAAAAGAAAACGAGTTTTTAAAATATATACTCATGTAATAGTTACTGACAGGAGACTCAAAAGTTTTCTTTTGATTCATAACCAATAGCATTCTTCAGCATTCATAAGACCATGCTAACACATGTGGCCATTTTATCTTTCCTCAAGAAATCCCAAATATTAAAAATTTACCCCCTTCGACTACAGCTCAATGATCAAAAAAAGCTTAAGTCTGAGGTCATTAGGTACATGCCTCCCCACACCGGATGGCCTAAAGAAGTCTCCCTCCAACACCACGAAGGAGAGGAGCACACTTACCTTTGACTCCTGAGAAGTATCTGTTTTCTGAAAGAAAAGCGTAAGGATCAGATGTTTTTCATGAGCAAAAGGGTACACAGCAACTTCTACCCTCATAATCAAGGCCCTTAAGTGATGACTGTTAAATACAGATGCAACTTTTAACCTTGAGAAAGAATATAACTTTACTAAGAGCACACTAATTGATACTCCTCTAAGAAGAACATTTTAAAGCAAGGAACAATTAAATGAATCCAATGTATAACATGCATGTATGGGCATATCTATAGGAAAATCATGTACACAAAAACATTCGATTTTAAATACATCTAAATAATGGCTGTTCAAACCAGTACACTGAAAGGGTTGATTTTTATCCTTATATTTCAGGTACCATAAAAATACAGGTTTATAATTCATAAGCATACAAAATTAATATTTCCTAAGGAACTACTAAAAATAAAATTACTAACTCCTTATGATGATTAAAGGAGAAATAAAACATGCAGGAATAGAGGCTGGGGATTTAGCTCAGCGGCACAGCGCCTGCCTGGCAAGCACAAGATCTTGAGTTTGATTCCTGGTACCGGAAGAAAAATAAAACAAAACAAAAACGAAACAAAAAAACCCCATGCAGGAATAACAAACTTCTGAAGTACTGATAGTTACCACCCATTGCTATTATAAAAGATTCACACGATAGCACCCAAGCCTAGACTACCCTCCACTCCAACGACTATCCAGACCCTTGGGGCCAGTGGAGGGGACAGGTAACAAGACAGGGGAGACAACCTGTTCACCCCTTTGTTTCCTGTTCAGTCTACTCCCCAAGCAGGAAGGCAAAAGGATGGAAGCACAGAAGGTCTAGGAGTGAACAGACAAGTTTAAGGCACAAAAGCTGGCCCATGTGCACTGGGGTTCAAGAGATGGCAAAGACCAAACCCAAGGCAAAAGAAGATGTGCACAGTGGGTAGGTTCCCAACTTCCACCAGAGCCACTGCCAAGCAACCCTGCTCTCTAGTGTCCAACACACTCCACCAGTGTCCAACTATTTATAAATGGCAAGTATTTAAAAAACAAAGAACTTCACTAACTACTATAGCTGTGAACAGCAGATTGTTTTTAACATTACACTGTTGTGAGGCCTGACTGTCAGATGTTTAGCTTTTCTTCTTCAAAATGCAAATGAGTAACTGTCTCTCAAGTGAAACTCCGTATGTCTTAACTTTCCCAAGAAAGTTCCTTCACTATTCTACAAATATATGGGGTTCACAGGTTGAGAGATTTCTCAACTCATCTCACACAGATGCTGCTATCCTGCAGAGAAAATGCCTTCTTTCCTATGCGATGCTATCCTTTCTAATCAAAAGAATTCTTCCCTAGTAGAGTATCTCTACTGAGAGCCACCAACACTAACCTAATGTTACTTCTTTTTTTCTCCTTGGTCTTGGGGACTTGAACCCAGGGCCTTCCTTGTACATTCTAGGCAAGGACACTAGCACTGAACTACATCCCTAACCCTTTTTTTATTTGAGATATGGTCATTAGGTGTTCCAGCTGGCCTTGAACCTGCAATTGTTCTGCCTCAGCTTCCTGACTAGCTGAGATTACAGATATACACCGCTATGTCAAGATCCTACTGCTATTTCTTTGACTATAAAAACACACTGGTTTTACGAAAAAGTATCCTGAATCCTATGGCCTAATACCTCAACTTAGGGATAAAAAATCTGAGTTTCTGTCTGTCCATCTCCTAACCCTCAATACTAGGTTATTAAAGCAAATATTTTCTGTATGTTTGTCTGTAAGGAATCTTGGGGAGGTACTTTGGGAAAAAGAATTTATTTTAGTAAAAAAATGGGGGTGAAGGCCACTGCAATTATTATTAGAGAGAGGATTTTCACTAATTTACTAGACAGAATCTTCAGTACCCTCTGAACCTCGAGACAATATCTTCCAAATTTAGGGTAGTTTTGAGAACTAGATACCATATAAAAAGTGCAAACAAATTTATAGCATATATTAGGTATTCACTTTGAGTTCTTCTGCACCTCATCATTTGCATTAGTGCCTAGAACTTCTCTAAAACCAGACCCAATACAGTTTCGAGAGCAGGACAAGGAAGTTATTTTAGGTCCTCCTACTTTGTGAAGTGCGTGCCTATGAGAATCCTAGATGAGGGTTTTCAGCCTCAGCACTGCTGACATTTTGGGTTAGACAGCTGTGTCCTCGGGAGCTGCCCTGGTGGGCTTCCTGACTGCAGGATGTTCAGCAGCATACCTGGCCTCTTTCTGCCAGACAGAGGCCAGCAGCAACCCCCTCAACTGTGACAAGCAACGTCTGGCCCTTTGGGGGATAAATCACCCGCACTGACAACGTTGTATCAGGTTAACTTTAAACTACCTCCCGAACAGTACCTCCTAAAAATGACAATGGTCAGAAAGACAGTGTCCAGCTAACTTGATGTGAAGAAGGAAAACCTACTCAGGAAGAATAAAATACCAGGTATCATGCAATGAAGACGAGGGAACTTGGCAGCTGTCTACTGCAGAAGGGAGCAGGACCAAACAGGATACCATAACGTAACAGAACGTCATCCTGACCTAGGAGAAATCTGGGTTTTCCAATATTAAGTATTCATCTTTACATTTATGCTATTTAATTTAACTATAAAAGGAATTACTGGGGCTGGGGATTTAGCTCAGTGGCACAGCACCTGCCTGGCAAGTGCAAGGTCGTGAGTTCGATTCCTGGTACATTAAGAAAAACAAACAAACAAACAAAAAACAAAAGGAATTACTTTTTTAATAAAGAGGGAAACTGCTGAGGAAAAACTCTGTTTTACTTCCTCTAGTCATTTCCTAGTTTTTTGCTTATAAAATAGCCCTTCCTAGCTAGACAAGGTAATGCACACCTGTAACCCCAGTTACTCAGGAGGCTAAGACAGGAGAATCACACGTTTGAGGCCAGTCTGGACAACTTAGCAAATTCCTATCTCTCAAAATAAAATAAAAGGGCTGGGGATGTAGCTAAGAGTTCCCTGGGCTCAATCCCCAGTACTGCTAAAATAAAGTAAAGTAAATAGAATGACTTTTTCTTGCTGCTCAGCTAGGTACCCTACTAACTTGCTGAAAGAGCATTTAACTAAAAACAAAACATGAACAGTAGAACACAGAACCCCTGTGGGGTAGGGAGCCCCTTACCATCTGCTGGTACTTGTTCACATTCTCCTGAAGTGTGTTGAGTAGGAAATTGAAGATACTCTCCATGTTCTGGGTTAAGGTTTGCTGGATATCCCTTCTTCTTTGAGAGGGAAGAGTCTGAAAGGTCACTACATCTTCTGCCAGGCGCAAAAGGATGAACATCACCAGTTCCGTCTGTGTTTCCTGTGCAACAGAAATAAGCCAGCAGACATTGACTGGTGCACTTTGTCCATCAGAGGAACATCTGAGGCTATGTTTTCCTGATAGAATAGCAGCCAACACCAGCAGGAAGCAAGCCCTGGGGTCTGCCTGAGAACAAGCCTTCCGTACCCCTTGCCTGGACAGTGTGTCCAGCTCCGCTAGCATGTCTCGCCAATGCTGCGGCCACTCTCGCTTGATTATCTCCACCACGATTCGCGACAGACCGTCTTTAATGTGGTTCTCCTCTTCCAAAATGTTCATTGTTCCCTGAAAAAGAACAAAGATGTAAAGGGGTCTGCAGGACTGAATTTCAAGTGGAAAACCTGGGCTGTAGTGTGTACAAAACTCGTTGGCAGGCCTGCTTTAAAACTAAAAGCAGTAAACTTGTTCTCCCTGTCTGAATTCCCATCCTGCCCACAAGCCAATCACTCTTCTAAAGTTTAAACGACGGTTACATCAGCTAATGAAATAGCTGTCACATGGAGCTAGGAAAACATCACTGCTCTTTACAAACCAGAGACACTTTTATACTGCTGCTGCTTCTTTTTTTTTCTTTTTCTTTTTGAGACAGGGTTTCACTATGCAGTTCAGGCTGGCCTTGAACTCACTTTGTAGCCCAGGCTGGCCTTGAACTCCCTGTGACCCTCCTGCCTCATCCTTCCAGAGAGCTGGGCCATTATACTTGACTTGCTTTATTTTTTAAAGAAGACCACGGTGGAAGAGTGAAAGAACAACTATACATTGAGAGGCTGATAAAATGGGAGGGTAGAGGAACAACTGCCTATTTTATTAACAAATCTAGTATGACAGAATATTAGAAAACTACTACTAAGTGTCTCTTACGAAGTGTGATATCAAGACTAATGAATCATAGTCTCTGCAGAACTAGCAAAATAAATCCTAGTTGTTTAAGTTAATTAATAATTTTGAAGGGAATATTTTTTCTATTAACAGCACGAAAAGGGTAGGAAATTCCACATTTTGTGCCCTTTGTTAAAAAAGAAAGAAAAAGATTGTGGACTTAAAACATATTTAAAGTCATATTCAAACACTAAACAAATTTATTCTGCATGTTTATCACTAGTATCACAAGGTAGTTCAGTCTGAATAATAGGTAACAATGTGAACAGTGTTTCAATCTAACTTAGATCTAAGAATCTTATTCATTTGTTTGCTGAAAATGTTTAACCTCTGCCCTTTTAAGATTTTAAAAACAAAATTCCACCCACAAGGGTAAGCGTTTAAATCTAATAAGAAATGGGATGAATTATGATCTTACAATGGTTCTTTTTTTATCCTTGAAGGCAAAAGCAATTATTATACTGTCTCGTCTACGACAACTAGTGAGTTTTTACCCCAACAGTACAAGGAAACCTAAGTCCCCAGCCACCCTGTCCTTACACTGGCGATCAGCTCCATGACACTGTTCTTCAGGAAGACTTTCTCCAGGCGAGACATACTGTTCCACCGGAACCTGCCACCCAAATATGAAAAGCAACAGAACCACGTCAGATGTCTTTTCTTCACAAGTGAATAGCTTTGATTCCTGCACTTGATTATGCTGGCAATTTCTTTAAGAAATTGTATTTTTGATTTTGTACCCTTTGGAGAATGGGTAGAAAAATGCTTGGGAAAAGGTTTTAAATATGTCTACTAATTAGAACCCACAAAGGATTTGTGCCACAAATCAGCTTTTCTCTCAAGTTCTTACTAATAGACCAAAAGTAAATGTATATCTAGGATGACTTTAGTACGGTAATTGCTTTTTGGAAAATCTAAATCTTTTGCGGGGTAGTAAGGGGGTCAGGGATACTGGAGATTGAACTCATAGCCTTCACACTAAGCTCATCCTTAGCCCTTTTTAAATTTGAGACAGGGTCTCATTAAATCACTAAGTTGCCCAGGATAGGTTCAAACCTCCAAAGCTCCTGCTTTGGCCTACCAGAGAGCTGGGGTTATAGGTATGTACCACCATACTTAGCTAGAAAATATAAAATCTTGACACTGCTCTCTTCCTCTACTGGTTTATAGTTATAGCCATATTCCAGAAAACCTGGGTAAATCTTAAAATCTGACTCTTCTGAAAGGTGCTGAGGTTAAAGAGACTGAAGTTAGAAGTTTTCAGTTGTTCTCCTATAAGCCTGCTTTCCATGCACCATTCAGGGAAGACCCACATTCAAAAAGAAAAAGGCATGGTGCCTAATCAGAGATTTGTTTACCTACACACTGGATTTCTCCAGTGAGGCTGTGTGGTCTACTTAGCACACAGTAAGTGCTCAAAACACCAGATAAATAACAGTAGCAGCTGTCAGCTAAGACTTGTTGAATGCATAGAAAAGTTCAAACTCGTGAATGAGCACACAAATGAACACGCAAGTTATGTAAGAAATAAAGATCTGCACTCTCACAGCCAGCCCGTGGTCATATCCAAGAGTTCCTTACTTGACAACATGTTCCAATATCTGAAGACCAAAATGTCTGACGATGGCAATTTGTGTTTTCTCAGCCAGCCTCAAGCCACAGTGGACACAGATAGGGCACTTTTCTTTAAATTCTTCACAAAACTGAAAGAAACAAAGTTAGTATTTCCCCTTGGGGAGCACAGAGACAGCAAGTAAAAAAAAAAAAAAAACAACTCAGCTGCAAACCCTAGATCAATATTATGCAAGTAAAGAAGTGATAAATATATCTTCCACTTTGATGGTGTATTTGCTATGCTGTGGCAATAGCCTTACTATCGTTGAAGAAATACACCTCAGAAGTATACAGTGGTAGAATGACAATTCCTCAGGTTTGCTTTAAAAACTTGAGGTAGAGGTCAGAATAAAGCAAAAGTATTGAAAGCTGTATAACAGCTGAATTTAAATGATAAGAATACGTGTAACTACTAGATTGTTGTAGAATTCTTTACTTTTGTGCCTACTTTAAATGGTGGGGAGCTTTGAGACAAGGTCTCACTTTTTAGTGCAGGCTAGCCTTGAACTCAGGCCCAGGCTGGCCTCAAACTTGCAGCAATCCTCCTGCTTCAGCCTCTCCAGTACTGGCATTACAGGCTGTGCCACCACATCCAGCTAAATATTTCACAATAAAAAAGTAGAACTCAATTATTTGATTCCAAGTTCTGTGGCACAGTATTGTAAAGTTTCCTCCAAGTAGTGGTGATTATGAAGTTATATCACCTCAAATACACAGGAAGAACACCTACAGACATTGTTTAAAGGCGGATTACTTCGATTTTAGTAGCATCCCCGTTAGTGTTCGATTCCCAGGCTACCACACTTGAGTCAGTCCGCGGACTGAACCACCCCGAACTCAAGAAAACTACTTTCAGGAAACCAAAGTGCACTTGAGAAAATGCAAAGCAAGTGGCAGAAGTTCATCTTCGCATGACACGGCCTACGAATACCATACTTAGAAAATGAGGCAGGGGTATGCGGATTAATCTAAAAGGGCCAACCACCTATGCATTAGGTAAGGATGGCAAGACGAGCATGGGGGGCGGGGCTGAGGTTGGGTAGGCCGATTAGGAGGGCATGCGTGTGTTCACAGCAGGGAGGACCCTGAAGGACCAAGCTGGCACTGGGGGCGGGATCAGCATGTGCGCCAGGGGCGGGGAAAGAGTGTGTGGGGGTGAAAACCGGTGCAGATCGCAGCGAAAGGGTCGCGGGGAGGGGGAAGGGAGGCGGGCAGCGGCCGAGGGGCCTGGCAGCGTCTGGGGCGAAGGGCGGGGGCAGAGCGCGGATGGCGGCGCGGGGAGGCCCAGGCTTGGCCGGATCGCGGCCGCGCGGACCAGGACCCCGAGGCGAAGGGCGGCCAGACCCGGGGCGTCGGAGTCCCAGCTACCTTGAGGGCTTCCAGCCGGTAGCGCTGGGTGGAGCTGGGGTCCATCATGACCGTCACCGCTTTCACCAGCTGCTCGCACAGCGCGTTCACTTGATCCATCGCCATGGCAGGCACCACGTGCCGAGAGCACACCGCAGGGCAGTCTCTGCAACACTAAGGACCGACGCCTCACTCGGCGGGACCACACGTTGGAACCCGGCCGCGGCGGGTTGGGGGTAGGGAGCGGGAGGAGGAGCGCGAGCCGCAGGAGCTGGAGCCGGGAAGGACCCGGCGCTGCGCACGCGCCCGACTCGCGACTGCGCACGCGCACACGGAAGTGGCGACTCCGTGGTGAGATCCCTCCTAGGTGGGCGGGGCGAGAGGCGGAAAGGCCATTGTGCGCAGGTGCGTCAACGGCCACTTGCGGCGCGCGCGCGCTGTTTGGCGTCAGTTAGGACTGCGCTGGCTCTCCTGACGACTTCTCGGGCGCGGTCTCTGGGATGCTGGCGGGATTCTCCGTCGTGAAGGGAAACGAGTCTCTCTCAAGACTATTGCCCCGCCCCCAGAAGGGTGAGGAGACGTGCTAGACTTCTCTTCCTCCAGTGGATCCTGAACCCTGCGTCCGTCCGCGGCAGCTTGGTCAGGTGTTTGTCGCCTCGGTAAGGAAACGAAGAGGCGTCCGGTGTCCCTGCCTTCAGACTCCTTACAGTGCCTTAGCTGCTTGTTTTATGAAATAACATGACAGGTGACGCACTGGGTCGAAAGTGAGAACATGCTGATCGCAGAAGATCTTGAGGTTTGTCTGGTAGAAAAAAACCAAATATTTCCCCGTATTTCTTCCCCCGCCGCCGTATTTCTTCACTTGATCTTAGCCAAAAGGTCGAGAAGCGATCTCTTATTTCTTAAAGTTTTCTCTACCCGCGCACTTCTTTTCCTTCGTTAGTTCCTACTTGCTCGGCTTCAGACTTGTTTTGTGCAGATTGGGATAAATAGGGATATTTAAAGATGAAAAATTGCAATCACTGAAGACTTGTGCAGTTTTCATGATTTATCAAAATGTAAAAATTGAAGGTGTGGTTCTTACCCGGAAGCAGGGGCTTGGCTGAAAGCATATCATTCTCCATTCTCGTTATAAAACCCTTGTCTTCTCCAGTAAACACAGACTGAAGCGTCTGTGACTTGTCATGTCTACATACCTGTTTTTGTGTTGGGTGTGTGTGTGTGCACAAGGTCTTCTTTTTTTTCTTTTTCTTTTTCTTTTTCTTTTTTTGGCCTTTTTGAGACAGGATTTCAGTATGCAGTTCGGGCTGGCCTTGAACTCACTTTGTAGCCCTGGCGGGCCTCGAACTCACAGCAATCCTCCTGCCTCAGCCTCCTGAGTGCTGGGATTACAGGCATGCGCCACCATGCCCGGTGTGCACAAGGTCTTGCTGTGTAATCCAGACTAGCCTCCACTCGAGATCCTCCTGCCTCAGGCTTCTGGGTGCTGGGATGGCCCACGCCTGGCTCTTTTTTTGTGATTTTGGGGCGGGGGGGGGGTACCTAGTAAAATGTTTGTTGCTAAGTCATTGCCTCTTATTTCAATCTTGGTGTAACTTTCTTTATCCTAGAGAAGACATAGTTTAAGGAAAAAGAATTTCTAACACGGTTTTTAATTATAAGATTTAAAGTATCTGCCTGTTTTAGGTGAGTGGTCAGTAGGAATTCACAGGAAGAAATGCTTTGACTACTCGAGTTTCTTAATTATTTGGGTTTTTTTCCCATTAATCTTTTAGCTTTGCTGGGTGCATGATAGTTTTTCATGGTGACTGTTAGTGTTTTGGAAAACTTTTTAAAGAATACAGTTGGGTGCTCACTCAAGTGTATAACCTGTGTTCTCATATTTAAATCATGAATTTCTGGTGTTTTCATAGCATCTTATGTATTTGAGGCCAGTAGTTCCTAAATTCTGCTATATACTGGATTTGCTTAAAGAGTCTTACAAATCACGATAGCCAGGTCACATGTATACCAATTAAATTAGGATGTCTGGGGTGGAAGTCAGCAATGTTAATTAAAGATTCCCAGGTGATCCCAGTATGTAGCAAATGTTTTACATTTCTTCTTCCAGATTACTAATGTTAAATAACAGTCAGTATCCAGTCTCAAATATGTACGGTTTTTCCAATCTGTCATTCATACTATGCATACCTTTATGTCTAACTGCCAATCATAGAGGACATTTTCTGTTTTTTTTTTTTTCTTTTCTGTTTTGTGTTCAAATATTTACATAAACAAAATAACAATTGTTACAAAGTAATTGTTACAGATATCCATTCACAGTTGCTTAGTGATTGAAAGTTTGAGGAGTAACAGGATAGTTACATAGTCTCAAAATGTTCTCTTCCAAGATATTTATTAGTTACAAAACGAAAAATAGTAACTTTTACACTGAGAAGCCTGGCAAACACCATTTTAACTAATTGATTATGGTTAACATTGTATTAACATCATAACCCCTTCCCCATATTATAGGATGAAAGCTTTATTCCTGTTATATCATTGCCAAAAATGGGTAGTCTTAGTCTAATACTGAGAAAATGTAAAACAGAAACAAAAAGACACTGTCAGAATAACTCACTTGTACTCATCAAAAGTGTCAGGGTCAGGGCTGGGGAGTGTAGCTCAGTGACAGTACACTTGTCTATGGGTAGCAAGCACAAGGCCCAGATGTTTGATCCCCTGCACTATCCTGCCCTCTAGTGTCAAGGTCATGAAAATCAAGGAAAGATGAAGGGTCACAAGTTGGAAGAGACTAAGGAGACATCCTACACTGGAATCCAGAATAGAGAAAGTTGTGAAAAAACCAGTGAAATCCCAATAAGCTTGTAGTTGAGTTAATATTTTATCAGTGTTCATTTTTAAAATTTTAATAATTGTGATATTTTGTTTTTGTTTTGCTTTTTGTGGGTACTGGGAATTGAACTAAGGACCTTGCACTTGCCAGGCAGGTGCTATGCCACTGAGCTATATCCCTGGCCCTAATTGTGATATTTTAAAAATAAGTGCTGTGTTATACAGTTGTCCATGGTTCCAGGACATGCCCACAGGATACTGTCGAAATCTGAAAATACTCAGGTTTAATATAAAATGATGTAGTGAGCTGGGTGTGGTGGTGCATGCCTGTAGTTCCAGCACTTGGGAGGCTGAAGCTGGAGGATCATTGCAAATTCGAGGCCAGCCTGGACTACATAGTGAGTTTGAGGTCAGCCTGAACCACATAGTGGGACTGTGCCTCAAAACAAACAGAAACAAAACAAAACAAAAACCACAGTGTTTGCATATATAACCTGTGCACATCCTCTTATAGACTTTTTTTGGGGGGAGGGGATAAAACCCAAAACCTTGAGAATGCTAGGCAACTGACAACCTAAGCCCCTGCCAAAATACTTAAAATCATTTCTAGAATACCTAATACAGTAAGTCCCCAACTTTTGAACAAGTTCTGTTCTGGGAGAATGTTCATGAATTGGATTTGTTGGTAAGTCTGGTCTTATAGTGTACTTTCACTTTCATTTCCATGGTTATTGCCTTGTGTTTCCTACCAGGTCCCTTTACATCACCACTACTTTTTCTCTTGCTTCCGGACATCCTGGGCTCTGACTGAGTACTCTACCACTGTACTGTATCGCAGTGTAGAGTAAGCATACAGCAGCACAACCATGACAGTGTCTGGCAGACTGAGCTATTTGCATCTACGAATGTTTCTAGTACAAGGTCCATTCATATTTGTGAAAGTTTACAACTGGAATGTTTTTAAATCAGAAACTTACTGTACAATATAGATAGTTGTTAATAATTGTTACACTGTATTATGTAGAGAATGCAAAGAAATGTATATGTTTGGTACACATACTTTTTTAAAAAATATATTTGATCTGAGGTTGTTTGATGTAGAATTGTTGCATGTGGAAAGCTGATTATATATGGTCTGCATCTCTTCTCTAAACTTATACTGAGATCTATCAACTGGATTACTGTCAACCTTCTCCCCTATTCATAATCAGTACATTGTGTTGTTTTTTTTTTTTAAATCAACATACTTTAATAAGATATCAATGTCAAAATATATTTTCTTGCCTGGTGTAGTGGTGCACTGGGGAGGCTAAGGCAGGAGGAATGCTGAGTTCAAGGCCAGCCTGGGATACATACTGAGTTTAAGGCCAGCTGTATTACATAGTGAGACCTTGTCTCAAAAAAAAGACAAAATGCATTGTCTTATAGAGTTAAGCTCCCATACAGTTAAAATATTGTCAGTTGTCAGGTAAGGTTAATAAGGTTAATATGAAGCTTGGAATATTTTTTAGTGTTGTAGTCAAACTGCCAGAGTATGGCAGTTTGAATGCCAAGGCAGCACACACAAGAAATGTATTTACATGTCATTACCCCTTTAAGTTCTGCCACAGAGTATTGAGCCCCACTACTGCTAAAGTAAGTGTTAGGCAACACAGTCCTTAAGTAATTTTTCTCATCTAACACAGATTTCTTTTGAAAGTTAATTTTTGGTTTTAGCAGTAAGGCCCTTTGGGCTTACCAAATTCTTAGCCTGATGTGCTTTATGTGTGTTTATAAACTTCTTATTGTACCCATGACAGAAGTGTTCCATGTTGACTGGTACTTAAAAACCAGAAGGTGTTGTCCCTTCTCCCCTGTGAGTTACAGGATGCCCTGGGACACTATTTTCGGTGCTTCCTATGTATGTATTGTGGTTTGTATTTGCATTTCTTCATGGCTAATGATGCTCAGCCTGTTTTATGCGCTTATTGGCTATTTGTGTATCTTTTGTGAAATGTTTGACTCTTTTGAGGACAAGTTACTTTTAAAGTTTTTAATAATTATTACCTGCATAAAGTTGTATTAATTTATCCTCATGCCAGCAGTATGTAAAAATGTCTTGCATTCCTGTTAGTTTCTATGCTCCTAGGCTTATGGTAACTCATCAGTGAAAAAATGGAAAGATAGTTTTCCCTGGCGTTTTGGATTAACATCTTTCAAATTCTATAAAATGTCTTCTTACAGAAGAAATGGACACTGGACAAGACCGAGTGGTTGCCCTTGTGGACATGGACTGTTTCTTTGTTCAAGTGGAGCAGCGGCAAAACCCTCATTTGAGGAATAAACCTTGTGCAGTGGTGCAGTACAAATCCTGGAAAGGTGGTGGGTATGTACTGTTATTGTCATGACTGTCTAGTGCTGGTTTAATCCATGAGGATACAGTGGCGTTGTGTGAGCTCTTGTCTCTGAGATTTCCAAACTGCTATGTTTAGAATCAAATCCTATCTGTGGTCAAAAAGTTTCTAATTTTATGTGTCTATGGCCTATTCCTACTAAGTTTAAATTTTTTACTTTGGTCTTTCTTTTTTCTCACCTTAGAATAATTGCAGTGAGTTATGAAGCCCGTGCATTTGGGGTCACTAGAAACATGTGGGCTCATGATGCTAAGAAGTTATGTCCAGATCTTCTACTGGCACAAGTTCGTGAATCCCGGGGGAAGGCTAACCTTACCAAGTAAGAAAAAGGTTGTTTAAAGGGACATGGAAAATCAGAAAATAATAATCCATGAGGATTGGAACTGATGTTTCAGAGTACTTTTGTGTGAGTAACATCTGAAAAGTTCCCTTTGGTCAGCATCTTATCTCTGTAAAATGAAAACAGAAAGGTTTTGATGTTCAAAGGTTTTGACATTCTATTTCAGTAATAGTTCAGAACCATTATTACAATAATTGCTTCCCCTGGTACCCATTTGTTTCCTTAATTATTTAAGAAATTGTTACAATTGTATTTATTGGAAGGAGGTTGAGACAGGGCCTTTCTATGTAGTTCAGGCTGGCCTCAAACTCATGGTACTCCTCCTGCCTTAGCCTCCTGAGTGCTGAGATTACAGGTGTGTACCACCACACCCAGATAGGTTGTTATAATTAAAACTTAATACCAATTCACATTAAAAAAATTCCCATGTTCTTAGTCCAGAAGCCTAAAGTGATTTAAAAGACTATAAAACTGATAGTTTTTCCAGGGAAGCCTCAAACTTACATTTAGTGCAACATCTAGAATTATTTTCTAGAGTTAAAAAAATATAATTATCCTACCAGAACTGAATAAACAAAGGAGATTGCTTCCTGTGTTTTGTTTTATTTTGTTTATTTTGGTTTTGTTTTTTTGAGACAGGGTCTTACTATGTACCTTAAACTGCCTTGAACTCACTATGTAGCTCAGGCTAGCTCAAATTTGCAATAATCCTTCTACATCAGCCCTCTGAGGGCTGGGATTACAGGCATGTGCTAGCATACCCACCTCTTTCTGTTTTTGAATTGAGTAGACTTTCTGCAAATTTTAGACACTGAGCCTTGGAACGAGAGACGTATAGAGGTAGGAACAAGCTGTAGCCAGTAATAATCCTAATAGGTAAATGTATTCAGCATATGTCACATTCAGGGCACTACGTTAAGCTCTTTATAGGCTATATCTCTTTGAAATCTCAAAGATTATTAAAAGTAGGTACCAATATCATTTCTCCTTTCATAAATAAGGAATCAAATTTAGAAGAGTTAAGGAAGTTCACACAGCTGTATGGAAGACTAGAGATTTACATTTACTTTTTCAGATTCCAGTATTTATATTCTCATAGTACAATATTGTGTGATATGGTATTATACTTCGATTTGGAACTTGAGATACCTGAATTCACCTGTGAATTAGAAGACTAAAAGTGGAATAGCCTAGCCAGCCTGACATTGGAGTTATTGGCAGAAAAGAAGACAGACTTGACTGAAGTTAGTAGCTTAACCATAACAGAATTAATTCAGGCCATGGACATATGTGGTATTGTGTTGAATAAAACCTTATTCTGGTACAGACAGTATAACTTCCCTGAAGCATACATTGTTGATCTCATAGTGTGATTTGGAAAAGCCATACTGCACCAACCTTAAACAAGACCATTTATCTTTTTTTTTTTTTTTTTTTTTTTTTTGCTATACCAGGAATTGAACTCAGGCTCTCAAGCATTCCTGACAAATGCTCTACCACTGAGTTATTTCTATAGCCATTTTTATTTTATTTATTCCAGTACTGAGGCTTGAACCCAGGAACACTCTACCACTGGGCTACATTGGCAGTCCTTTTTAAAAATATTTTTGAGACAGGATCTTGCTGAGTTGCCCAGCCTGGCTCAAACTTGTGATCTTCTTGCCTCAGCCTGCGGAGTAGCTAAGATTATAGTCATGTGTTACTGTGCCTAGCTGTTTTATTTTTTTTGAGAAAGGGTCTCACTAAGTTCCCCAGGCTGGCTTTGAACTAGCCAATGTCCTGCCTTCATCTGGAGGATCTGGCATTAACATGTATGTATCACTACCCCCAATTAGATCATTTACATTTATTTATTTATTTATTTATTTTTGAGACAGGGTCTCACTCTGCAGTTCAGGCTGGCCTTGAGCTCACTATGCAGCTCAGGCTGGCCTCAAACTCACAATGATCCTCTTGCCTCAGCCTTCTGAGTGCTGGGATTACAGGCATGCGCCACCACACCTGGCTCATTTACTTTTAAAATCCTCATCAAACCATAAACAAAATTTAGGATTAAAAGCATTACAATTTAAAATCATTTTAAAAATTATTTGAACGTACCAGGTTATTAAATAAAATTTCACATATGCTTCAGAAACTTTAATTTGTTCAAAGGGCTATGAAGAAACTACTGCTGCAGCACCAACAACTGATTCAGAGTGTCCTTTCTTGGCTGTGTTTGTGTATGAGTACATTGATCCCTTCTTTCCTCTAAGGCCTATCGTCTTCCTAAACCAAATAATGACTAAAAGGTTAAAAGCCAAGTATATATAGCTCTGACCTCTCATTTGATAATGTTTTAGGACAATAATTATACTAGTTTTTATAGATGTCTTAGAGAAGAAGTACAAATATTTTCATTTTGTAGGGAACTAACAGGATCAAAGAACTTTAAATTGCATAGCAGGGCCCAAACAAAGCAAGGCAAACGTCTTTTTACTGTTATAGAAAACTAGCTAATGGCAGTAGAGTGGCTTGTAACTAGAACAGAAGGCAGGATAAGAAGAGAGTTGTCCCTGAGGAAGGCTGTCTGCCTGCCTGGCTGCATCACTGCTTCGTAGGCAAGTACTTCAGCCTCATGATTTTGTGAGTGTTTGTAGATGGAGAAGTAACTGGTTGGAATATGTGTGTGTGATGAGCCATGTGTTAACTGAACTCATATTAGCTGAAGTACAGAGTCCACATGTCAGTTTCTTATGGTGAAAATGCTACTGTGAGGAAGACCAGATTTCTCTGTTCACTAATCAGGTTCCTGTAAGTTAGCTATTTTTGTTTGTTCCTTTGAGACAGGGTCTCATTATGCAGTTCAGGCTAGCCTTGAACTTAGTATGTAGCCCAGGCTGGCCTCGAACTCACAGCAATCCTCCTGCCTCAGCCTCCCAAATACTGGAATTACAGGTGTGCACTCTCATGCTTGGTTTAAATTAGCTCTTATTTGAAATAGAATCAGAAGCAAAAATCTTCTGTGATAGACATGAAAACAACAATAGATGATCATAGTAAATGTCCTTTGGTGCACAGCATTTTTTTTCCTTTTTAGAGAAATCCTTGTTGTGTAAAATGTTCATGGTCTGCATGTGTTCTGCCTTGCTAGTGCAAACATTGCACTAACAAAATTTCCCTCTGGGATTTTTTTCCTTTTCCGTCTGTTACTGATCATCTGCCTTCCCACTTAACAGTCTAGTCTCTGTTAGGCCACATGTCTCTTGATCATGTAGATTATTATTATTGTTCATTATGAGAGGGAGAGGATGGGCTGACAGTCCCAAGGTTGCCTCCATATGTGACCCTCGTGCTTCTTAGGTACCGGGAAGCCAGTGTTGAAGTGATGGGGGTGATGTCTCATTTTGCTGTGATTGAACGTGCCAGCATCGATGAAGCTTACATAGATCTGACCAGTGCTGTGCAGGAGAGACTAGAGAAACTACAAGGTCAACCTATATCAGCAGACTTGTTGCCAACCACTTACGTCGAAGGTTTGCCCCAAGGCCCTACACCAGCAGAAGAGACTGTTCGGAAAGGTACTTCCATAGTGTCATATTGCTTCTGCTTCCTGCCTTTGGAGCCTGCTTTGCTTGGTTATGCAGATTCTTCTTGGAATGACTGAAAAGAAACTTAAACTACAGCTTGAGTGAATCACAAGGACTCACATGGAAGGATATACAAATTCTCTTATCTTTCCAGGTATATGCATGTTCAGAAGCTGTGAAATCTGTATATGCTGGGTGAAATCTGTATTTGCTTATCTAAAGTAAATGTGACAAATATTGCCGGGCATGGTGGCTCATGCCTGTAATCCCAGCACTCGGGAGGCTGAGGCAGGAGGATCATTGTGAGTTCGAGGCCAGCCTGGGCTACAAAGT